ATATATATATACATACATACATATACATATAGTATTATCATCATCAAAATCCTTTTGCCCCATAGCGCAGTGTTACAGACACGCTGTCGTTCATGGCGATTGCGCACAAAAAGAAAAGGAATGACACTCTGTTGGAGTGGAATAAACCATTTATTGGTTCATTCTATTGATGAGAATCCATTGTAATATTGTACTACACAGTAGACAACTCATGTTTTTCGATCATTTGCAGCGGTAAGACAGCCTGGATATTGATACACCCCGAATAATCAGCAGATACAATAACCTCGCCATCAGCCTGTATGATAGAATGAGAATAATAGTAAAATAGGATAAGTATAGGAACTAGTTGTTTCGTGATATGTAACAAAGTTTTGCAATGATCTGTTCATGTGAGACGCTTAGCTTCACCTCGAATCTAATTCGTATAACTAGTCGAAAGAAGCGACCTACTCAGTGACATGATAGATACATTGAATCTCCATTTGACAGTAAATAAAACATTTTGAGGATAACTGCTAGTTATTCAATTTGAAAGTTACCGCGATTCATCTCAATATTGGTAATAAGTTTTAGAACGGGATATACCCGAGCAGCCACACTAAAAAATATATATATACTGAAAAGTAATCATTGTTCAGTACACTTGTATCATACCGTGCTATTGTCTTCTTCTTTGAGATTTGGGAAGGTGCTGTATGGTGCAAACAGCGCCACTGTCACAGTCGAACGGTGTGACGCGTATGCTTCGCACGCATCGTTGTTGTATCGTGTTTTGTTCCTATGGTAGCATAGCAAAAAAAAGAAGCAGAATTTCGCGTTCCTAAAAATAATTGGGTTCTAAAAAATGGAAGAAAACAAAAGACACAAGTCAGCGGTATCCAAGTCAATATCGCCAAACTTGCCTACGCATATGGCAGATGCAAATATGTACTCAAAACACAGGTCGTAATATCTCTTGACCTTTGACAGCCTAGAGTAAAAACAATGTCCCATTGTATGTGTGGTGTACTGATTATTTGTATCTAATTCTCATTTTGTCAATTCGAAATTGACGACCAGAGCTTGATACAATTTTCTATACGATCAAATTGGAATAGTACGTAACGCATACCCATCATTTTCATTCGTCTTCCACATGTATATGTTGTTGGTTTCTGAACCGGAAATCACAAAATTGGTATCCCCGCTGCAATTTGGACGTGTGAAAAGTATATTTAGCTCGTTGCAAAGCTGGATTTACGAGTGTTAACAATGAATTCTACGCAGAACAACTGAAATAATAATTCGCGGATCTACTCACCTCACGCTAGCACGTAATTGACCCGAATTCATACTGCCCCCTCGAAATTTGCGCTTAAGGGAGAAATCTGATAAGTCATACATGCGGATCCGCGAATCGTTTGATGTCACTAAGATCTGGAATAGGTCAAATGGTAATGTTCTATAATTATACATTTGTACACATTGCTTCGAAGTATCAAATGGAATCATCGCGATCAGATGATTGATTGTTTAACGCATATCTTTAAATGAATGCGGAAGCGACCGCGAAGCCCACACGTTATTCTCAAGACGACAAATTCACTGCAGCTACACACACTTACTCTATCACCGTCGCCAACGCTCGCAATGCCACTGATCTTCTTCCCTCTCTTCTTGCCCTTCCGTTTCACAAGGATCTGCGTATGGTACTTAAGTTTCTGCGATATTTCGATGAAAAAGTTTGCTATTTATGAGATGTTCGCTCACTCAGTGTCCGATAAAAGTACCATCAGCTATCTATAGCATAGTATTGGAGAAAGTCAAACTAAAGCCCCAAAAGATCCAGGACCGAATGTTGGATCGATATTTCGCTGCATACTATGTAAATCAACGATTGAACAAAACACTTAACTACATTGGCAACAGAGGCACCGGAGCCTTTATGAACCAGCAAAGATGACAAATTGTTTGTAGAGTAAGTGACATAATTGCACTGTGACGTGCTCTGTGACGTATCATTGATAAAACTATCATACTACGGAACAAATGATATTCCAGCTGACAAAAACGTACTTCGCTATCGTAGAACAAGCATCGTCCATCGTACGTCCCTACAGCAACCATACGTCCGTTGGCTACAAAACTTGCAGATGTGATCATGCTGTTTCCTGCCGAATTATCTACCAAATTCCAAAGAGCAACCTTTTTCTGCGTTATACTCCACAGGCGAACACGACAGTCTAACGACGCGCTCAGGAAGTAACGGTCATCCTGATGTGGTAAGATAGTGAAGCTCAATTTAGCAAAAAGAAATGGCCGGTGGAAACAGACAGACAGACAGTAACACGCAGCTAAATAACAATATACGATAGAGGTTCGTGGTTGCATTTGATAGTCACCTGGAAGTGCCACCAATGTTCTATATGTGTAGTTGACAGGAGCTTTGTTCATCGTAAACTACATATCGACTTCTCAGTTGAGTAGAAAGTCGCAAGCTTACCTTCGGATGAAATGATATGGCCGCAACGAAGTCCGGATGTTGAAACACACAAAGGCATTGTTCTTGAGAGATGTGCCAAAGCCTGACGGTCTTATCCATCGACGATGTCAGTATGAAATGATTCTGTACAGTACAGGTTATCCGGTATAGAAAGAGGGGTCAGAACAAGGTAGCGACACCAAATCAAATAGAAAGTAGAAGTCAGCACAGCAAGACCACGCTGAGATATATGAAAAGGTACCGCTGGCTGTATTGCTACACACGAGATACGTATGATCATCTAGCGATAGACCAATATACAATCACCTGAATAGCTCACCTTTGACCATGAGATATCCAGAACATCTGCATTGTGACCTCTGAAAAGCTGATATGGTTCATCATTAAAGAATGGCTTCAGCTGTGTGTCAGGTAGTAAATCAGCCGCCAAATTCTCAGTACTCGACGGAACATTTAAAGTGATATTTTTACTGTCCGTGGTCTGGCGCTTGGTCGCACTGGGAGGAGGAGGCCTTTTAGGCGGTTCAGGTCTACTTGGCCCGCCTATACTATTCCTATCGTCAGCCCTACTATGTGCGTCTGACTGCGTCTGTGGAAGCTTGTCTAATTGAGGATTTTTCTGCGTGTGCTGGTGAGGTTTGTAAGGAGCGTGTGCTAGTGGTGGTGTACGCGGGCGCGTGTCCGGGTTCGAAGTTTTACGATTAATCGAGCGTGAACACGTACTCGACCTTCCTTCAATTGTGCTGCTGTCAATTGCTAGTTTTTGATCTTTGTCATCATTAATAACAGCTTCTATTTGGCTCTTTTCCTCCGCCGACGTGTGAAGTTTTGGGGACGCACTCGCATTTTTGTTTACGATATTATCGCTGCCGCCTGATCTAGACTTTTCTACCATTCGTTTTATTGTCGTGGGCGACCCACACGCGGGCGGTCTATTGAGAGAAATTGAGAACAAAAATGTAAACATGAGCAAAGATCAATAGTGTTCCGAGCGATCAGCATGCGTCATCTTGAATTCGTGATGCCGAGGTCTGTAGCATTCGATAGGTTCCTCGAAAAAACACACCTAGGTGGGGGAGCACTGCTCGCAGGGTGGCTGCCAGGCGTGCTTACTTCTTCCTCTATTGTTTCGTTACCATTCGAAGTTCTATGTGAGTTTGAAACGTTAGATGCGTCTGGCTTACTAGCTGGTTGCGCTGTGGGCACTTGAGATGCCGAACCACTTCGGCTCCGTGATGAGTTGTTGTACTTGTTTTTCATGTCGTCAAAGAAACCCTCCTGTCCTTTTACAACCCACACTCTCACGATCCTGTGAAAACGAACCAGAGTGCAACGTAAGGTTGGGGACGCTAGGGAATAGTAAGAGCGCAAAATAGTGAGGTCCACCGGTGTGAGATGTATGTACAAAAATGAGGACCTAGTACAACGCGACATGATTCTTTCATGCCCTGAAACTTAAAAAGTAAGCATAAGATGGCAAATGATTGAGGTCAGAATACCTGTCCTGTCCAGCTGCAGCCAGTAGCTTGCCATCGACACTGAATTTCATGGTCCAAATAGGCCCTCCCATTGGCGTGAGTGATTGTACTTTTCTGAGATTGGAGAAGTGTGCTTTGCCTTTGACACTCTGTTTTATAAGCGATTCGTCGTGCAGCGACACGACTGGAGACCCTGGTGTTTGTTTGCTGTGACTATTCTTGCTGGAGCCAAATCCAAACTTATGCAGAATATGCGTTGTTTTACTTCTGTTTCTTCGATGTGGGCTGTAAGCAAAGCAGGTATCAATGAATTATCTCAGAGCTGAGAACTTCATATGTGATGATAGTATCGTGGCCCAAAAAGACAAAAATCAACCATGACGGGCCAAGATCGTGTTTATATGGAGTTTTTACGGCGTATTCGCTCGTATTAATGACCAAAGACTTGTCTGACTGCTTGTGTACGCTTGTGAGTCCTTCTACAACGTACGGACATGGCCTATTGGTGGTGTATTGAGCTACAAGTGAATTAAAAACAATTCACTCCCGTAGATTTTCACAAGAAATCACGACAACTGGCACAGACAGTCACATCATTGCATGCAGCAAGTAAATATTAGTTCTCCGAACCTAAGTGCCCGTAATTCAAAAGGCATTTAGGTTAAATTAACCCAACAGAAAAAAGATCGAAAAGTGTACAAGCCTAGTCTGGCACGCTTGATAGGATGCTTTGATACGCGTACAGACCAGTTATGTCAATGTCTGCGAGAATCTACGTAATCGAGCTAGACTGAACATATGGTGTATTTGAAACAAAACCTTACCCCTGAGAGCTATTAGCGGTTGCTGTTGATATTGTATCGATTGACTTTTCGTCGCAGTCCGGCCCTCTTCTTTCCATCAAGGTGGCACTGATGGGATCGCTCTGTTGAGCATCTGCTAGCGTTGTCGTCTATAAAATAATATGTGTAAGTGAGAAATCTCTGATTGAAAGCACGCATGTGTGCCACAGCGCAATGTGTATGAGCCTCTTCATATAAATAAGAATACGAATTATTGAAATTCACTGTATTCCAAGATATCAGGGTTGAGCGAGAACTCCAAAGAGTGGCCTACCTCGTTCGTATCCAGATTTTTGACCTGCGTCTGCATCAGGACCTCCTCATCGGTGGGTTCCAACCTGGTCTCTACCCCACTTTCGGACGTATTCGAGGGAGCACTGTCTGCATTTTCAGTTAGCACCACAATAGATCCAGCTTCATTCCGCTTCAAAGGCGATGCCCCTTCTCCCTCCTGGACGGAGAGTATGCCATATGTAATGTTGTTAGTTCTGCGCGGCACGACAAGCCAGTGTTGCTTGACAATGCAAGGCACTGCAAACATTGATCTCAACATATATTAACAACAACGCTTTACCTGTCTTTCTACATCATGGATCGACAAATCACCCTCTCGATTCCTGATTTGTGCTAACAAATCGGCCGTGCGAAAGCCAGACAGTGATGTTGGGGAACCCGCGCCTTCTTCTCTACCATCCATGCGTAACCGCTCAACATCTTTGCTTCGGGGAACAGTATTCACATCGTCGGTCAAATTTCGTTCAATAGTTTTGGCTGAATAGTCGCCACCTGGTTCGACGTTGCAATCATTATATATACCAGATTGTCGTGTGGCATCGCTCGGATCACAAACATTCGGTTTATGATCGAAGTCACTAGTAGTAGACCTTTGTGAAGCTTGAAAAACTGTAGATTCAGATGTTCGTAAAGGCGATCGCTCTTGGCCCTTAATACCCTCGCCCAGCGAGTCCGTACTAGCCCTACATAGTCGCATACACCAGTATGCAGATAAAATAAATGTATGTATATATCAGTTAGGGAAAGAAAACCATCAACACTGAGCTAAGCAGACAAGAAAACATACCGTGCTCGGCATGTCACATAGATACATGAATTC